GGGTGACTAGTTAGTGATGTTCTGCTAGGAGAGTCACGTCTGAGCATTTCCAGGTAAGGAAGGCCATGTAGACAGAAGCCCTGCTTGCCCGAGCAGGCGGTGGACGCCATGCCCTCTGGTGCAGAGGGTCTCCAAAGCCCCGACGGTCATTGTAAGCCGAGCTTAAATCCAGTATGTTTCAGCTCAAGAAAGATACTAGTGAATAAAATGGTGGGGAAAATGACATTTTCAAGGAAGCATGATTCCTAAGCATGGAAATCAAAATCTCTAAGCTCCATGTAAGTGAAGTTTAGGCTAGGGTCAACAACTATGATTCGACCGATTGTCACATCATAAATGTCAAACGTGCAGGTGATGGTGTTCATAGATTTTTATTTATCCCTTGAAGTGACTGTAAGTTCTGCAACTACAGAGCTGATCGACCTGCATGAGGGTGACCGTCCAGCTGCCGCCAGCCTCCCTCACACTGAGGTTCTGTAGCACCAGCGGATCGAGCCCTCCGCTGGGTTTGACTGCTCCCCCACCTGGTCTCGGGCTCCTTACGGTGTGTGATGAATGAGCTGTTTACTGATTTCCTGTTGAAGAAAAATGCAGATTTGGATTATTGGAATTTACTATTTGGGGGCAACTGGCTCATCCTTGTTTTTGTTTGTTAAACAGGAAAAGGACCAGCGCAGCCTAGACATAAACACTGCCAAGTGCATGTTGGGACTGTTATTAGGAAAAATCTGGCCCCTTTTTCCAGTTTTTCACCAATTCTTAGAGGTACCAAATTGTTATTTTATGAAATGTATGTTTGCTTGCCTAGAATACCACATAAACTGTTTGATGTATCTCTTCAATGTGTACTTCCTGCCCGAAGGAGCTCTGGTGACAGCAGCACGCTCAGTCGGCAGCTAGCCACCTCTGGGAGCACGGCTGTGCGGTGTGTACACCTCCATGCCGCCATCCCGTCATCCTGTGTCACAGACGCATCAGGGACAGCGCAGCTCCGCCCTCTTCTCTCCTTTCCTGTCCTCATTTTTAAAGCTTCGCTCCTTTTTAGATTATCTGCTCTTTATAACGACAGGAAAACAAGATTTGCTTCCTTTGACTTGAGATGAATTCCCATTTCTATCAAGCAAAGATTAAAACATAGCTCTCTGCCTTCTTTCTTAAATTCACTCATAATCTTCTCTTCTCTGTTCTTATCTCCAAGTAACTTGGGGACCTTCAGTCCATCAAAGTAGGCAAACCGCCAGATTCTCCATTTATTACATGTCCTTCAGATCTGTCAGAAACGACCCAGCCCGGCGCTGTGAGCTATTTGTTTCCTTGAAGTATCGGTGATGAGAATTTTGAGCTGAAGTTTGTTAGGTGCCAGTTTTGTGGCTTTGTCACACTGCAGGACCTGCAAGTGTGGGGATGTGAGTCTGCCTTCCTCATACATGCCCTCCTGCCCAGCCCTTTTTAAAAACGTCCTTTGCTCGCACGATGGGGGCCATGTGGGGGCCTTGAGAAGACCATGGGCCTTTACCTGACTCTGGCTTCACTTTGAAATGATCTTGCAACTCGCCTTAGGTAGTGGTTCAGGAAAGCTAAATGGGACTTCGCAAAGTTGTAAAAGCTAGTTTTAACGTGAGAGGCGCTGGTTTGCCTGGTAGTGCGTGTCTGTGCACGGTCTCATCATGTCTCTGAGGGCCGGGCAAGGTAAGTCAGGGACTGTTTGGAAAATAAATCAAAGTAGGTTCTTGTTCTCAGAAAGTTCAGC